CCACAGAGGCGAAGAAGCCTGCCAGGAGCGCTCTGGGCAAACGACCGTGAGCGCAGGCCGCGCTGCAGGACCCATTCGCGCGGGGGAGGAGGGTGCTGCTCCGGGCGCGCCGCTGGGCCCTGAGTCCGCCTTCCCCCACCCCGCCTCCGGGGGCCTCCACGGGGCGGATGGGGAGCCGAGGCCTCTTTCCTCCCATCGCGGTGTTTATAAGAAATGAAACTGCACAGGGCATCAGCGGCAGCCCACAGGGACACTATTCCCCCTCCGGGGTTCCGGAACAGCCCAGGGCGCTGCAGGCCCCCCCACCCCCCGTGCTTTCTCAGGCAGCTGCAACCTCCCACTCTGCATTTAGGAATTTTATAACTGCACGTTTATTCTGCTGTGTCATACAGCACGTCTGCCAGAGCTGTGAGAGAGAAGGGGTAGACTCGTGCTCCCGCATATCCTCAGGGCCAAACCTGGAGTTGACCCAGAGCAGGAGTGCGATTTGCATTTGTTGAATGCATTAAGAAACTCTTCCTTTCTGCTAACTAGGCTCTTTTCAGGAAAAGGGAAGCCGCCTGGATTCTGTCGCTAAGCCTTAGGATGCTCAGAGGAGTTCATGTTTGACTTGTACTCTGCACGTCACAGTTTGGGGCTGCCTGCCTCCCAGGTTTGCTGTGAAAATAAAGATGATAGCTGGGAGGAACGTTGAGCATCTAAGAGAAGCCCTCCCTCGGACCTGGAAGCTGGACTGCCTGTTGTGGGTTCCTTTGCTTTGGGGTCTGTGGCCTCTTCTCTGGTAGCAGGCCCAGCAAGGGCCCAGGGCTGCCGCCCCCCCCCCCCCCCCCCCTGGCTTAAAAAAAAAAACCCCAATGGCCCGCATCTCAGGACTAACTGGACCCACCAGGCGGCAACAGTGTGTTCTGAGAGGCTGAGGATAGAATTTGGTCCATTAGGGAAGAGGCTCCCACAAGGGTGATCTTGCCTACAGCATCTTTAAAAAAAAAATTTTTTTTTATTGACTTGAGAGAGGAAGGGAGATGGAGAGACAGAAACATCAATGATGAGAGAGAATCACTGATTGGCTGCCTCACGCAGCCCCCCGCCCCCCCAATCCAAACCCCAATCCTGGGCATTTGCTCTAACCCAGAATTGAACCATGACCTCCAGTTCATAGGTCGATGCTAAACCACTGAGCTACACTGGCTGGTCTGCCTCCAGCATCCTGATTGCCAGCCAGTCAACTCCTTTTGCCAGCCTAGAAAACCCCAGGGCCTTATACAGAAAAACTATCCATTAATTTGACACTCAGAGGATGACAGTATAGATGGGAGGCATCCTGTGAACACCTGCTCCAGAGCTAAGCCCCAGCTACCTCCAGCTGTAGGTGTGAGGAACTCAGGTCTCTTGTGGAAAAATGCAAAGTTCCCCAGAAGGTCACCACCCAGAATGTGCTAAGCGGCGAAAAGGCAACATGAAAGTTAAGGCTGAGGAGGTCCTGAGGGGGGAATGACTTCTAGCTGGCTGCTTTGGGGGCATTTCATAGACCAGGCATTTGCTCTGGACCTTAAAATAAGAGACTGAAATTGAAGTGGGGGGAGGGGTAGTGAGATGGGAGAACTGAAATTGGGGGGTGGGAGTGAGTTGCTAAGTATCCCAAAAAGTCAGGGTTGAAGAGTAAATGGAAGGAACAAAGACATGAAGGGGAAAACACAACATGTGCTCACAGAATGGAAGTGCAGTGAAAGGTTCACGCATTTCTATTCATACACGTCATGTGTCTAATGTTTTATAGTTTAGGAAGGGGTTTGACAGTCTACCGCATTTCATCTTCACAACAATTAAGAGATGGACTAGAGCTGTGGTCGGCAAACTGCGGCTCGAGAGCCTCATTGGCCCCCTGAGTGTGGCTCTTCCACAAAGTATCGCGGGCGCGCGCGTACAGTGCGATTGAAACTTCGTGGCCCATGCGCAGAAGTCGGTTTTTGGCCTGGGCAAGTCTATTTTGAAGAAGTACTGTTGATATTTGGCTCTGTTGACTAATGAGTTTCCCGACCACTGGACTAGAGTATCTCTGTTTTACAGATGAGAACAGTGAGGCCCAATGAGGGACAGTAACTTGCCTAAGATCACACAGCAAATAGCAAAGGGACAAGAACCCAGGCTTTTGGATTTAAATTGTGTTCTTTTCCACCGCCCTCTAGTTACTGCCAAGAGTAGGGGAGCTGTGGGAGAGAAGGTTGGATGAGACCCTTGGGACCAGAGTGAGCATCGATTTGCATGTGGGGCTGAGGAGTCTGGGAGAACTCAGAGGGTTCCAGGGTGGACCTGAATATTAGGGAGGTCATAAAGTTTGGGAGATGACCCTAGTGCAGAGGCACCTGGAGGGGCAGGCCACAGGGGAGGCTGTAGCAACACCGGCTGGTCCTAGAATGTGAAGACATGACTTAGTTCAAGGAAGGAAGACCCAGAGGACCAGGTGAGGCAAAGGGGGGTTGGAGGTTAGGAAAGACTTCACCAGGGAGGGAGCTGGAAGTAGGACAAGAGAAAGCTGCTGGGGGCAGCATGGAAGGGGAGGCCAGGAGTTCTGCTTGTATGTGTGTGAACCTATGGATTGGATTGTAGGGAAGTGTCAGCCAGAGCTTGGGTTTGGACATCACCTGTTCAGAGGGGATGCCTGGAATCACAGAGGATGCGTATTTTGAGTCAGAGCGGGGAAATGGCCAGCCCTGAATTACCAAGAAGAACCTAGGGAAGGCTCTGTGTTCTGCTTAGCATTACAGGGAATATGTGATACATCTTAGAATGGGATTCATCAAGAGCAGTTCCAATAAAAATTGTACTTCAACAGGTGAAGCTTTATTTCACCTATTTGGAGTATAGCACTCCCAATCCCGACAAGCAGATTCTCTTACAGGCTTCAAGATACAATAGAATCCCTAAAGTTAAAAGTTAAAGAGAAAAAAAATCAAAGAACACTTCAGAGATGTTAATGACAATTTCATTGGTAAATCCTAACATTGGGGAATTTCTCCTAAGCAAAAAATTATTGATGTGTGCAAAGATTTAGCTACACAGTGTTGCTTGCATTATGAAAAAAAATGGAAATAACCTAAATGTCCTACAATGGGGGATTAATTGGGTAAAATTTTATTTATCCTTATGATAGAATAATAGGTACCCATTGAAAACGATATTGCAGAAGTACATTTCACAACATGGAAAGATGCTCAATATATATTCATGTATACATATGGATGATTACCTATGAATTGATATAAAGTTCTTGTTTTAAAGCACTTTTTACAGTCTCCTGTTGCCTTCACAGGGTCATTTTGGTCAATTTCTCAAGACCACATGAGATGCAAACTTCCTCTCCCTAATCTCATTCTGAGTTTTCCAGCGGTTATGTCAGGTTCTTAGGGACCATCCATTTGCTGCACAGAGAACAGACTTCACAGCTCAGGAGCCAGTTATTTCTGCTCTTGCTCAGAGGGTCTTGGTCTCCCATTTTGCTTAACACTCAGCAAGGCTCATTCCTCCCAGTTCCTCCTGCCTCTTCCAGCTTTTGCACCCACCACCAGAATTGGCTTAACTCATTCATTTCCTCGGTGGAAAGAAGTAGAGTGACGGACAGGTGGAATGCCGCATCAATGTCTGTTTATAGCCCGCATCACTGCAGCTGGGTGCTGCTGTGGAGCGAGAGCTGGGGTGAAGGGCCTGACACAACCAGTCTCTCCAGGAAGAGCAATTTACTTGAGTCAGCAGCTTCGGGGAGGTGAAGACAGGAGTCGGCTGGGCCAGAGTTCTGAATAGAAAAATGAACACGCAGCCCAGCCTCTAGGAGTACACAGGTAAGGCAAGGTCTAAGTTGTAAGCACGAAAAGTTAACTAGCTACCCTTCCCAAATGGCCTGGGACCTGGGCTCCCCAACCCTTTGGCCATACCCATGGCCTTGGCCAGCCCTAAATCTGCCCAGGCTGCCCAGAACCTCTCTGGGCCAAGCCTCGAGGACCCAGAGACAACACCGACGCTGCCACCGAGGAGCTCCCACGCAAGGGCCACCTGAGGCTGTGGAGGTGGCCTAAGGCTGTAGTGCTAGGAGGGACCAAGGCTATCCCCCCTCTTCGCCCCCCAATTTGGCAGTCCTGGCTTCTATGAAGCCCTTCTTTATTTACCCTTTCCCCGAGGCCAGCTGTGGGACAGCCCCAAGGATGTAGACAGAGAAGGGGGAGAAGTGTCTCCCTGGTCACCATGAGACTCTAGCCGGGGATTTCGCAAACCACAGAGCATCTGCTGCCCATGGTGCTTTACAGATGATCTCTCCTGTCGCTGTAAACCGGCGAGGGAGGGCCGTTATTTTGAGGTTGAGGAAATTGAGGTCCCGAGTCCGCTGGCAGGCTGCGCCATCAGTGGCCAGACTGAGATTCCCTCTCGCCCAACTGGCCCAGGCAGCAGCCTGCTCTCGGCTTTCCTTTACTTCTACAGGGCAGGTGAGTGACCGGGAGGTGGGTCACCCCTCAAGAAGGGGGCAATGAAACCCGCCCTTTTTGACATCCCATTAGCGGGCTGGAGGAACCAGCGGGGGTTCAGGAATTTAATCCCGCGTCCACTCTGAAGAAGGAGGCAGGTGCCCGGTGATCACCTCACCTGCGCTCCGCGGACAGACGTCTGCACCTCCAAGAGGAGGGTGAGGAGCCGGCCTCTGGGGCTAGCAGGCTGGGAGAAGGCGGGCTGGGGAGTAATTGCGGGCCAGGAGCGTTCGGCTTTCCTGGACAGCCTATCTCGGGGAAGAGCTGGGGTGGGGGTAGAGAGGAGGCGGGCGGGCGGGCGGCGGCGGGGGTGGGGAGAAGCAGCCGCCCTGTACTTCCCCTTCGCCGCTAGCTCTACAACAGCCTGATTTCCCCGAAATGATGGGGCGGCGCCGGCCAATCGGCGCCCTCGCGGCGCTCTGAGAGGCGGGGCCGGGCCTGGGCTGGGGGGAATCCCGCTAAGTGTTTAGATTGCGGGCCAGCGCCGCTGCCCTGGCAGATCGCGCCACTCCTTCGACGAGGTAGGACGTGCGTCCGAGCTCGGTCGAGCCGAGGCCAGCGGGAGCCGTGCCCAGCCAAGGCCAGCCGTGCCCAGTGGCCCCGCGACCCGGGCATCCTCTGCCTTCTCCCTGCTCCCACCCGGAATCGCGCTCACCGCTTCGGGACCCTCGGATCCCGCCGCCCATTCGCGCCCGCTGCAGAGGTGAGCCTGCCTTCGACGCGGGGGAGGGAGGGGGGACGGGTGGCATCGAACAAAGACGCGGGGCACCAGGAAGTGGGGGCTGAAAACCCCAGGCGGGAGAGTCGCGGGCGTGCGGCGTTGCCTGGGTTCCCGCGCGGGCTCGGGAGGGCGCAGGAGGAACGGCGGGCTGCTGCGCAGGGAGGGCGGGCGGCGCGCGAGGTTGCGGGCGCCCGGCCGCTTTTCGCAGATCTGTGTGCGCAGAGCCTTGGGGGGGTGGGGGGGGGGAGCTCTGGTTAGCGGGGTATGTTCGTAGCGCGCATCCCGCGAGGCGGGGCCGGGGACTCGAGTGTCCGTCCGTGCATGGGTGCTCTGTGCCTCGCGCCCAGACCCCAGGTTTCGGGCTGTCCATGCAGGTGGCAGGGTTGGGGCTTGCTCCCCTGGGCGGCTGGAGAACCTGCCGCAGCAGCGGGAGGAGGCGTCACAGGTGTTTGGTTCATTTCGCGGAGGACAGGAGCCAGGCAGGAAGGGTTGCGCCTCGCGGCCGCTGCACTGTTGTGGGCGACGGTGCGGGGGGAGGATGTCTCCGATGCAGGGAGACTGCTCGCCCATGAGGGAAAGTGCACAGCTTTATCTCAAGTGGGGAAATTTCTTGGCATCAAGCAAAAGAAGCCCCTACCTTCCCAAAGGATCTGAGTTTGGGAAGAAAAGTTTTGGTATTAAGATACCCGTGTATTTTGTCTCTTTTTCCTGCACATAAATCCTGCAACTATCACCAGCCTTCCCAGGACTGCGCAGGAGGGAAGGGGCAGAATGGTGTTGCCTCAGATGCTAAAAAGATTTGGAGGGCAGTTTTATTTCAGTATAAGCCTCCTCCCCCGTGATTGTATTACCTGCCACCTGGTTGAGGGCGGGGAAGGTAACTGAATGATCTGGGGTGCAGCAAAGTAGTGCCGGGGGGCTGCTCAAACAGACTCAAACGGGAGCCTTCTGTCTTCTCTTTACAGCCAACATGCCCATCACTCGGATGCGCATGAGACCCTGGCTAGAGATGCAGATTAATTCCAACCAAATCCCAGGGCTGATCTGGATTAATAAAGTGAGTGTAACTCTTTGGGTTTTTCTGCCACATTTTAACCCATGTTCTTTGGGGGACCAAAGCTGCAGATGCAGCTCAAAAAGGGAAGTGATAGGGAGGAGGCAGATGTGTTTCCCAGCGGGTCCTGCGTGCAGGGAGTGCGCCAGGCCCAGCCCTGGGCCTCACTTGCCTGACTTCTGCCTTCCTTCCTTCCTTCCTTCCTTCTTGAGGTAAGGACAGGGCACCTACCCGAGGTCACTGACAGTTCCCAGCAGCTAGTCTCTTCCAGCATCCGAAGAGCTGGAGTTCTGATCTCTCCTGAAGGAGACCCATAAAAATTCACCCAGCAGGGCTCTACTCAGACAAATGGCACTGCCAGTTGGAAGGTGACGGCTCACCAGGTGACCCAAGAGTTAACCTTGCACCAGTTGCCCAGGCCCAAGAAATCTCTTGCTGGTGAATAAAGGGCATCACAGGCTTTGTAGACCTAATAACAACAGTATTCATAATAACAGCTACTGCATGCTGTTCACTCACTACAAGTGAGTGTGGCAACATGCGAAGTACGTTACTGACATTGTGTCATTTAACCCTTAAAATAGCCCTGTGAGGTAGATCCTTTAATATCTCCATTTTCAGGTAAAGAAACTGAGGCACTGAGAGATAGATAATGACTTTGATGCCAAGACTTGAACCTGAGCAGTCTGACTCAGAAATCCATACTGTTAAGCCACGAGAACAGTGAGACCTTAGTCTTTACATATGCCACTGTGTTTTCTTGTTTCATAGAAAACAGTGAAGGACAGAGTTAGAGTGCCAGTGCCAGGGCCACACAGGGTAGACAGCATCCATGTCTGGCCCAGGGCTTCCTCAGGTGTACCGCCAGAACCCCCCGTGGAGGAGCCAGTGGCCCTAAGGTGTCCTGAGCAGCCCCATCTAATGGACAGAGTTCTCATTTCCATGTCCATGCTGACAAGCCAGAGAAGCATGCCACCCAGCACATCTGTAACAGGCACAGGGAGGTTTTTGCTGAGCTGATGGTGCCACAGCTCATCTGAACCCATAGCCCCTTCTGAGAGATCCAGAGTGATGCAGCAGCCTGTTCAAGCCAATCTCAGGATGGGTCAACCCAAGCCAGTGGCCAGGGTGAAAAGGGGAAGTCAGCCTTTTCCCAGACCTGGGTGGCTGGGCAGACTCCGACTAAAAGCCTGTAGCCTCTGAGCTGACACAACCTTCTGTACATGTGTGTGTGCCGTTCAGGAGGAGATGACCTTCCAGATCCCATGGAAGCACGCTGCCAAGCATGGCTGGGACATCAACAAGGACGCCTGTCTGTTCCGGAGCTGGGCCATTCACACAGGTGTGTGACTCTTGCCCAGGAGGAGCCCGGGAGGGGATAGGGGGAGGCACTTCTGTTAACACAGAGGCTCTCACTGGGCTTTCTGAGCTCCCTGTGATGGCATACAGAATTGGGGGTGGGGGCAGAGGGCAGACCTGCATTTCTTTGGAGAGGGGCCATTGTTTCAAGGAGTTTGTGGCTGGATTAAAGTTCTCCCTGGCAAAAGCAACTGTGAGCCAAGATATTAAGAGACCCAGGCCTTCTTTTCTTGAGGTCCTTGGCTAAAGGCACATCTTGTTGGTGGCCTCCTTTTATCCCAGAGGGGTGGGGCTCTCGGCCCATCTCAGACCAGTCAGCCCACCTATCAGTAACTGTTCTTTGATGCCTACTCTGTACCCACTCCCATGTTTGGAAATATCAGATAAGCCCCAGCCCCTACCCTCTGGATGCTGACAGCTCAAGTAGGGAGTCTGGGCATGGTCCAGGACAAAGAGCACTTTCGGGTATGTGAGTGCTCTAGTGCTTCCAGCTGGGCCCGTCCGTGAGGCTTGCTGGATGTGTCTACGTATACAAGCCTGGGCATTTGAGAAACCCCAGGGTCCAGGGCCAGCAGAGTGTCACGCAGGAGTACCTACTGGTTTGACCAGTGAGGATCCCTGGCAGCATGAGAGCTTGGGAAACTCTTGCCTTCCTCCTCCCTGACTGCACTGGCTGAGGATCCCCACCTATGGCCCTGACCATCCTCTTCACTCTCCTGCCCACTAGGCCGATACAAAGTAGGGGAAAAGGAGCCAGATCCCAAGACGTGGAAGGCCAACTTTCGCTGTGCCATGAACTCCCTGCCAGACATTGAGGAGGTAAAGGACCAGAGCAGGAACAAAGGCAGCTCAGCTGTGCGGGTGTACCGGATGCTCCCACCCCTCACCAAGAACCAGAGGAAAGGTATCCAAGGGCTCTGGCTCCTCAAGAATCCCTCGGCAGGGAGGGAGGGAAAGCAGGAGGAAGGGAGGAAGGCAACTGGGGCTGGTGTGCCTGTACCAAGGCTTACAGCTTGTCTCTTCCACAGAGAGAAAGTCCAAGTCAAGTCGAGATGCTAAGAGCAAGGCTAAGAGGAAGGTGAGTGTGGTCCTAGGCAGCCAGTCTTTGGCCACCTGTGAGTCGGGCTGGGCAGTGGAAGAAGTGCCACGGCAGCCTGGTCTAAGCTCTTCTCCCTCTGCAGTCATACGGGGACTCCAGCCCTGATACCCTCTCCGATGGCCTCAGCAGCTCCACCCTGCCTGATGACCACAGCAGCTACACAGCACAGGGCTTCATGGGGCAGGACTTGGAGATTGAGCGGGCCCTTACTCCAGGTGAGATGGACGGGGCCTGGCAGGGACCGTACAGGTCGGAGGGGGTGGGGGGAGCTCTTTTCTCTTGGATCTGGGAGGCAACGTGCTTTGGGTGGCCTGTTGGAGCAGGCTACGGGATAGGGGATGCTGGGTGTCCTGCAAACTAGAAAGCACACAGCTCTGACCTGCGCTTTCTGCTGTCCTAAAGCACTGTCACCATGTGCCGTCACCAGCACTCTTCCCGACTGGCACATCCCAATGGAAATCGTGCCAGACAGCACCAGCGACCTGTACAACTTCCAGGTGTCGCCCATGCCCTCCACCTCTGAAGGTTCGTGCTGCTGGGGCCTCGCTTGCCTGCTTGACTGTTCAGGTCTTGGGAAGGGTTTCCTGGTGGAGAAAAGATGCTCAGAACTCCAGAGCTGGCGGCAGCAGGCTAGAGAGAAGAGGAAGGGGGCCAGGGGCTGCATTTTGATCTAAGGTTGCTGGTTCTCCTGGCTTCTCTGCAGCCCAGTCTCCGAGGGTGAGGAAGGAAGCGAGGGAGTAGGAAGAGGTGTGGCTTCAGGGTTTGGGAGGCTGAATCAGTAGGAGAGTGTCCTGTTCTGGAATCTGCGGGGCAGGCAAGGCAAATGTCTACTGGGAGGTGTGTGTGTGTGTGTGTGTGTGTGTGTGTGTGTGTGTATGTGTGTATAGGGGCAGGGGAGCCTGGCTGACTGCCAGCTAACCTTTCCGCTCTTCTGCATCCACAGCCACAACAGATGAGGACGAGGAAGGGAAGTTACCTGAGGACATCATGAAGGTAGAGCCCCTTCCTCCCTGGGCACTCTTTTGAAGTAGCTGCTACTCAGTGAGGAGAGAACCAATGAGAGCTTCCAAATCGGTGGTGGTGGGGGTGGGGGGTTAGGCAGCTACTGCTATGACCTGGCTGCTTGCATAGTGCCATCTCCGTACGGCTGGGGACCGCTGGCCCTCCTTGGAGGAAAGACACTGCGGAAGTGAGGACAGGAGGGATGCCCGGTTTCCAACAGACTGTCCTGGAACAGGCCTCAGGGCCCCGGAGAGCTCTGAGTCAGCCACCATCAGGACCAGGTCTCTGGCCTGCATCCTCCGCCCCAACATGCCCCAGCCCTGCTAGCCTGAGACACGCGCATCAGGTTTCAATAATCAGCCTTGGGGATCTATAATATGGCGGCTTTATTTTTCCTTTAGCTAATTATCCTCTAGGGTTGTTTTTTTCTGTTTTGTTTTAAAAGTGAATATAAAGGAGTTTTTGCAGTTGTATGCAGGCTCTGTTCCATCAGCACCCAAACTACATGGGCGTAGTTTCTTATCTCTAGCTTTTCTAGTCATCTTTTCTTGACTTATTATGCTAGCCATTGCTTTAAGCCGTTCTCCCAATTGTCATGTCCTTACCCAGTTGAGAGGAAAGTCTAGGAGCTTCGGTGCCGGGGTTGATGGAGGAGTGTGAGTCCAAGGCGGACCCTCACCTCCCAGGCCCCTGTCCCAAGTGAACTCATCTGCGTCTGTCCATCTGAGAAAGTGGCCAAGGGTGTGATCCTGGCTGGGAAGCTTTGGCTCCTTAGGGCAGGGCCATTGGGTGAGTCTGCACTGGAAGTGAGCTGATGGCCTCTTGTTCCTCTGTCCCCAGCTCTGGGAGCAGGAGCAGTCGGAGTGGCAGCCGACAAATGTGGATGGGAAGGGGTACCTGCTCAATGAACCTGGGGCCCAGCCCACCTCTGTATATGGAGACTTCAGCTGCAAGGAGGAGCCAGACAGCCTTGGAGGTAAGAAGCCCCTGAGGGAGAAGAGAGAACCATGTGGGGGGCTAAGGGAGGGGAAGGCTTGGGGGTAGGGCCAGGGAGCAGCAGAGGTAAAGCATCCTTGAACTCACCAGGGTACAGACAGCTTGCAAATTAGCTGTGGCGCCCATGCCTTTAAGTTTGCCTGAAGAGGGGTGTTGCGGCCATGGGATGGACATCAGATGCTGCTGTGTCTGTGGCCTTCAGGGAGGGAGTTAGGGGGAAACTCACCTCCTCCCAACCCCCCTATCCTCATACAACCTTCTTCACATCTTCTAGGGGATATCGGACTGAGCCTACACCGCGCCTTCCCAGACCTGAAGAACATCGATAGCATCTGGCTGGACAGCCTGCTGCCCCCAGTCCGGCTGTCCTCCATCCAGGCCATTCCTTGTGCGCCATAGCTGGGTCCCCGGCTGTCTTTTGCTCTCCTAGGCTAGCAGGACCTGGCATCATGGTGGCTGTGGTGCAGAGAAGCAAGACTCTTGGATGTGCAAAGAGTGGGGCTGGGGCCACCCTCCTTGGGACAGTGGCTTCTCGGGGCCTGGCAGGACAGGGTCTCTGGGGTACAGCTGGCCCTGCCTCCTGGGAAAATGGGGTTCTGAGACTGGCGTCAGGTGGAGGTCTCAGACAGGAGTCAGCCCTCCAGGTTTTCTCTCTGAACCCTGCTGCCTGGAGAGGGTTTCGCTGTCCCTGAGGGAGCAGACCAGTGACCTCAGGAAAGCACAGCACCACCCCGGGGCTGGCTCTGCACTAAGACAATTGCACTAAGTGAATCCTATTTCCAAAGAGCACCTCCCTTCCCAGCTGAGCCCTGGGCGCTGTTCCAAAGTCAGTGAAATGTGAAGGAAAAATTGGTCCTGCGGGACAGTGTTCCCTCAGCCTCAAACGAGTCCTGCCCTCCCTGCTTGGGCTGAGGGGCTGGGGGGAAAAGCATGGCACTTTTTCATGTGGATCTTGCCACGTTTCTGATCAGAGATGTACACTAACGTTTCCCACGGGTTCTCAAACTTAGCGTTTATTTATACAGTGCCTTGTCCTGCGCCCACCTGCCCCTCAGGCGGGCTGCAGCTGCTCTCAGCAGGCCCAGGGAGGGAAGTGTGAGCACCTTGGTATGACTTTTAAAATTGGAAAAGCTTTCTAACCACTAAGTCATATATGACCATAATATGTACATGTGTGTAAATATGTACATTGTATTTTTATAAAAAGTGAATTGTTCTAAGGGGTGTGGCCTTTTATTTGTAGATAAATTGTAAATTGTAGATGAGTTTACTTTCTGTAGACATTCTGATGGCCTCATTCTTGGCATCCTGCCTGAGCTTGACTGTGGGGTGAGGTGACACGCACCTATTGTAGGATCCTTTCAATTGTGTTCTTGGAGAAGATGGCCGGAGGGGACAGCCATGGCACAGGAACATACTCATGTAAATATAGTCGAGGCTTGGCGTTAGAGCCAGGGCTGTGAGTTGAATTTGGGTTTGGGGAGTGTTGGGTTTTGAGTTCTGAGGAATGTGCTGTAGGCTGTCTGTCTGCTGAACTCAAATGCAAGTGCACTTGGGTTCTATTCCCAAAAGTGAACAACAGGTGCAGCGCAGTCATGGGCACCGGGACAGACGGCAACTCAGAAAAGGCTCCCGAGGCCTGCTGTGCCGGGCCTTGCTGCCCGGCTTCTGCAGAGATGGACATGTACAGTAGGCAGTGGCAGAGTCACATGTGCCAACGGAGTGCTTGAAATGTGGCCAGTGCAATGGAAGAACCGGATTTTAAACTTTATTAGTTGAAATTTTAAAAGCCACTTGTGACTAGTATCTACTATATTGGACAGTACAGGTAGAAACTGGATTGGGGACAGATCTGAGGGGTTGGGTGGGGTGTTGAAAGAACACGGGGTGGGGTGGGGGGACAGGGGCTTGGGGCTATTTACCTGCCAGATCAAGAGTCTTACTCTTTGTCAGCTAACAATAACTCTCAGTGCTGAATGCCAGCCCTGCATTGTTCTGTGAAACGGGTCCATGCACAAAAGTGTTAGGAAAACCTTGGATGACCTTACATGAAGCAGGTTTCCCTCCTCCACGGCTTTTCAGGGTCTGTCTGGGCTAATGCACACAGAAGCTCTCTGAAGGGGTATTATGTCGGGGGTCTCCTTTCTCCGGGTCCAGCACGGGGAGTGGGGGGGGGGTGGGGGGAGAGCGAACCGGTTCTTTGAGTAGAGGCGCTTGAGATTGAGAAAGAAATGAAGAGACTGGACACAGAAATAGAGGGAGAAGCTGGGTCCAGGTGGGCTTCTGGCGGAGAGACTGAGACACCCAGCACCGAAGCAGGTGTTTATTTTATAGCCCAAATTCCCCAAATATCAGGAGGTTTCACCAAAACTCAAGATAAAGGAGCTTGGGTTGGCCCCAGTCGTATTCATTCCCGGTGCTTGACTGGATTTACATAATAAAAACCCTTCCGGGCACCTGGGCTTTGAAGAGTCAACTGAGGCATTCTCACCTCTTGGTTAGATATGCCCCCAAGATAAGGCTGTGCTTACACCTTGGGTTCAGTCAACATGAACTCAAAGCCCACGGCACCTTCCCTGGCAGGGGGCCCTCCACAGGGTATATTGATCAGAACAGTGTTTCTGAAAACCACAGGTTGGGAACCACTGACACATGCCCAAGCGCCCCTCAGATAAGGCCCAAATCACAGGAATATCTGAGGATGAGAGGTCTGGATATGGGCTTTTTCTCCTCTCCCTCCCCAGTCTCTGGCATAAACTGTACCCAGCAGTAGGCAGGCTGGCCAAGGGAAGCCTGCTGGCATCATTAGCATCATCTAGGGCAGTGGTCGGCAAACTGCAGCTCGGCAAACCGCAGCTCGCGAGCCACGTGCGGCTCTTTGGCCCCTTCAGTGTGGCTCTTCCACAAAATACCGACTTCTGCGCATGGACCACTAAGTTTCAATCGCACTGTACGTGCACACCCGCATATGGTATTTTGTGGAAGAGCCACACTGAAGGGGCCAAAGAGCTGCATGTGTCTCGAGAGCCTTGGTTTGCCGACCACAGATCTAGGGAAAGGCCATGGCAGGGATGGGGTTGCTCAGGGAAACCAAGCCTTGTAGACACATCTTCCATATACTTAGTCCTAGAAACCACTTGCACTGTGATCCCCTCTTTGGACCCAGCTCTCTGGAAGGAATGGGCCCGTGGTGGGGAAGGGAAGGCTGAGTGAAAGAAGATGAGACAATTGGAACATGGGCAAAGGTCAGTTTGACGTGCTCTTCAAAGCTCAAGAAGTATTGTTCTCTGACCTTGGACATGCAGTGTTAGTGACAGATAGCCTCCTGCTGGGGGCGGGGGTATTCTGTATGTGGGTGCCTGGAAAGACCCCAACTTCAAGCCCTGCCCAGCAGAAGATCCACCTGGTTTTTTCAAGAGTAGCTTCACCTATGGGCAGAGGGATGGATAAAATGACCTTTCCAGCTCCTCCAGAGCCCAGCCCTTACAGAGGAAAAATGGATTGGGGGTGACTAGCCTCCTGTGGCTTCTAAAAGGGGGCTTGGCAAAGACCTCTAGTGGGTGGCTTTTCCAGATAAGGATGGCTGGGGGCAGTGTGAAGCCAGGGAGAGTGGACTGAGGAGGGATGGAAGGGAAGAAATGCAACCCAGAGCAAACAGGAACTGCTCCTGACTTCTCTCCTCTGTCCTTCAACCTCATCTCTGACAGCGAGTATAGTGAAGTGGGTATGCTGAAGTCCCAGGTAGCTGTAGAAATCTCAAATTCTAATATGCCAAAGTTCATCACCAAAAAAAGTTACCAAAATTGGAGAGGAATTCCACTCATCACCCAATCTCCAGAGCCAAGCTGGAGTCCTGAGCTCCTCAGCTCTTCTTATCCCAGGAGTCCTAAACAATTGGGACCAACTCCTTAGAATATCCTGTACCCCCTCCTCGTAATAATGGAGCTGGGTCCTAGGGACCAGGCCTGGAGGAGGAGTGTGGGATGGGGTCAGCACCGTGAGCTGTCCCACCACACCCCACCAAGGACTTCAGCCTATGCCTAACAGGAGAAACGGTAAAGTCTGCCTGCTCACCTAAGGGTGATGGCAGCTGACACTAACTCATTAGTGAAAAGGCGCCACATCAGTGGAACAACATCAGTTTAATCGGAGCCAAATTTGGGCATAATCATTCAAGGTCATTCTAAGGACCTGCCAATGCTTTTGTGGGTCATTCTAAGAGTTTCAGTCCAAGCACTGAGTGAAGGTGGAGGCTCTTGGCTGAGGGAGCTAGAAGGCATTGAAAAGTCTGTTTTTTAGGTGTGATGATATCATTGTCATCAAGAACCACTTTTCAATGGGGTAATCTGGCAAAATGGGCTCAGTCATACGAGCTAGAACTCCTGCCAAGTCTACAGATATTCAAAGGCATTTCTGGTTAGCTACAGGGTTTCCTTGCCTTACTCCAAAGGTGTCATTTTAATTGGGCTGGTTTATTCATCCAGCCCACTTGGCAACAGGAAGAAAGCTACAGGCTAATATGCTAACTGCCATACAGAGGCTCAGGGTGGCAGGAGATCTTTAGGGAATACAGATGCAAACCATCCCGTCTTAGTATATTGGTTTCCAACATCTCTCAGTGCCGCACATGCAGGATAAGAGCTTTCTCAGATCGCTCTGGAAGTCTCAGATGGGGACTGCCAAAGACAGAACTGAAGTCCTAGGAAAAGCTCAAGGCCTGGTTGGGGTGGGGTCCTTTCCTCTGGGAGTGATGCCCCCTGGCTAGTGGAGCTGGTCATACCCGAGATGTCATTCTCTGGAACCATTTGGTCCTTCACAGTTTGCACAGACCCTCAAATCCCTGTATCAGCGGGGATCAAGGGGTCCTGTTGGAGCATCCAGGAAGCTTTGTCTCTGTCAGATGCAATGCCCTTCCTTAACTTGGGCAGGACCAACTCTCCACAGTGAAGATGCCTGAAATTCATCAGAACGCTGCACTAACCTTTTCCCACTTGTACCAGTGGTCGGTCACAGGGGCAGGAGCCTGGGGAGGGAGAGTGGGGAGCTGGTGTACTCTCTTTTCCAGGAGTGAAAGTTCTGGGAAGAACGAGACTTGTCTTTGTCAGCCAAGACTCCCTGGTGAGGCCAAGTCTCAGGCAGTACAAAGGAATAGCTGGTTGGCCACATGGTTTTCTTAACTCCAGGCAGCTCCCCATAGACCCCTTTCTGATGATATTCTGCAGGTGGGGAGTTGGGGAAGAAGCCCCCACTTCTGCAGGCTCCATGGTGAGGTGGGCCTAGAGAGTCTACGCAGAGTTTAATTTCAACTGGGGAAATACTGAAGGCAATAAAGCAAGGACATGGGGACCGAGCGAGAGGAGAGGCAGATGTCCAGCTCACCATCCCTTATCTAGCTCCACGAGCTCAGAAATAGGCAGCACTGGAAAGGACCCCAAAGTCTGGCTGGGTCATGGTAACACAGTCCTCCAGTGCTTACCATGACAAGGTGCAAAGCACCCCCTACGCACCATGACACCGGCACCCACCACAGCCCCTGCTTCACAGACCAACCAAAGCTCAACTGGCATAAGGCGTTTCCCTAAGATGACTCAGCTAATCTGTATGGGGCCTGGATTCCAACCCACAGCTGTCTGTGCCCAGAACCCAGACTGCCTCCACAATATCAGGCTGCCTGCAGAGGAGGAAACTGAGGCCTGGGGAGGAAGATTGGCAGAGCTTGCCCGGGAGCAGGGCACTAGCACCTCATGCCAAGAAAGCCTTTGGAGACACTGAGAGAAGGTAGCAAAAGCCACAGCTGCTCTGGACACTGTGCAGGACCCGCCCCTGCCTTCAGCACTCGTGACCTCTCCCACCCCAGGGGACTGGCTCTGCTGCTACAGGCCCCAGGGCCCCAATGGGGTAGGGTTTGTCTTGGTTCTCAAGGAGGGGGATGCCCCGTCTATGCCCTGGAGGCCACCTGCAGTTTAGAGGAGCGTGGGCCCCAGGAGGGTAGGACACAGACCGCTTGTGACTTGGCCTTGTGCAGGGGGCAGCTCAGCCACACAAGTCTGTCTGTGAACCGGCTCCAGGGAACTCTGGCCTGTTAGCCCTTATCTCAGCTCTAGGGATCAAAGAGGACTTTTCAGCTTGCCTGTCTGAGCCATGTGGCCAGAGTGCTCCCGTTCCGCTCAAAACCAGACCCTTGTGGGGTCCTGGGGTCCTCAGAGGTCTGGACTCTGGT